AAACATAGCTCCAGAAGAGCAGGCAGGAGAGACAAAGTGTTCTGCTTATTGTCAGTGCTGGATCTTTGTTTATGGTTTACTTTGTCCCACGGGCCAGAGAAATCCAGTCCAGGAGGGTCTTCCAGGCTTCTTCAGCAACTTTTCCATCAGTGGAGAATCACCAGTGAGTGACACTTTCCTGGCCACCCCATCCTTCATGCTTGTGCCTGGTCTAAACCTGCAGCAAACAGGGATGACATATTTTTCCCCCCTTTGGTTATGTGGACAGATACTTGTGTAAGCTCTCACTGAAAACCAGTTTGGGTTTTGGCAGAGTACGTGTCCAGATGATCTCTCTGTTCCTCCTGCAAGTGCTCATGTGGAAATCTCTGTCCCTGGCCTGCTTGGGGTTCTTCCAATCCCAGTAGTGTGGAACAAAACCAGAGTGGAGATGAACTTTAAAAATTAATTGGGAAAAGACCGAGACAGGTCTGGGATTGAACCCACTCATCTTCCACTTCATGCAGAAGCCTGTAGACAGGGTGAGAAGGAAAAGAAGGGTTGTTGGTCTGAGAACCTGAGGGTGCAGCTTTTAACTACTTGCTGAGGGAGCCTGGGGTACCTAACACTGCAAAAGGTGCTTTGTGAGACTCAAAATGGAGAGGTATGGAGACATGATGGTGTTGCCAACCTTCTAGGTGCCTAGAGAACAATTTAGGCTGTGACTGGGAAACCATTCATTTGTCTAGTTGAGTAAATTGCCATTCTGTGCACGTTGTTCCAAAGGAGACTTAAAAAACCCCAACATTTAAAACCAAGATGTTCCTTGGAACTGTCTGCTGAGAAGGAGCCAGCTCCCTGGCTGGGTGTATGGCTGTGTGCTGTGCTCTCCAGGGGAGAAAATGCTAATGACCAAGTGTGTCTGGGCTGTGAGCTCTGGAAGTGTGGTCTCTGGAGCATGCCAGCACTGCTTGGAAGAAGTAGAAGGTTGTCTGGCAGCACCATGCCTGGCCAGGCTGCTCCCTCCATCTTCTGCTGAGTTACAGTAAAGCTGGTCTTAATATCCCTGCTGGGTGGATGGGAACACCAGAAGGGCATTAGGCAACTTGGCCTTGGTGACTTCTGACCTGTGGGACAATCCCTGACAATCCTGAATCTAGATGTGCAGGCAGGGAGCTGTGTTATGACTTGGAGGTGAAGCTGCAGACAGGGTGTCCCTTCCTGCATTTAGCTATCATGGTTCTGACCTTCCACCCTGCTCCTGAGAACCTGGGGCTGCTTTTCTCCTGATGTTTTATCTTTCTCCCTATTTAAAGAAGGTCCAGGCTGCAGCTGCCAGCAAGCCTAAAAACTCTCTCCTCCTAGAGCATATTTCTGGCAGAAGCAGTCTTCACAAACTAGGTCTTGGGTCTGTTTCTCTTGGCTGAAGGAACTTGTCAATCCAGGAATAAAATAAGTCGACTGTTTTTAACTGGCTGGCAGTTTATCTTGGAATGGGGTCTTCAAACTTTCTGCTTTGTTATTTCCTGACTCTCATTCATTCACACGTGCAGCCTTGGAAGCTGGAAGTCAAAATAAATACAATGAAAATGAAAAGAAAGCTCAGAGTAGTTTTATTTTTTTTATGCACTTCCAATGTGATGTATCCTGGTAGTAGGAATTTCTTGATTGAAAAGCAGAATCTTTGGTTTTGTGCAATTCTTGAATTATGGAAAATTGTTGCTTCCTTCTTATTTTTTCCTGTCTACCCCTGGGAGAAACTGATTCTCTTCTGCAAAACAAAACCATCCCCCAATTCCTATTGAGTATGAATTTTTTTGACTGTTCTAGAAATGACACTACAAAAAATTCTGGACTGTAGGCACGAGCTCTAGACTTCCTTGGAGGGAACTGAAGCTGCATCTGCTCCCTCACCCCACACATGTTCCTGCAGTTACAAAACCTCATCGTCAGGTCCCTTAGAACAACCTCAAACCCAACCTTGGAAGGGCTTGCTCTTCATGTTGAGTTGTCAAACATCAAAACCAACCCATCATGCATGACTTGCCTTCTGTACCCTCTCCACCTCGTGTTATTCTGCACATGGTACAAAGGCAGAGGTGTAGATGTTGGAGGGCCAGCAAGGATGGAAAAACAAGCTCCACCTGGAGAGCAACTGCCCAGGATGGAAATGCTGTGCAGTGAGGTAGGGGATAAAGCTCAGAACCAAGTTCTGACCAAGATACTTCAAAATGATTAAATTGGGCAAGGCTTTGTGAGCTGCTCATTCTGAGAGAGCTCTGAGAGAAAGGCAGACAGTGCCAGGGCACACCATGCTCAGAGCCAGGCTCTGGCTTTTCCCAGGGCTGGGAACACTTCAAGTCCAGCTCAAGGTATGGCTTTATTATGAGGATCCAAGTGCTTCTGTGGCTCAGATGCCCTGGTGTTTATCTTTCCCATGTGCTCCAGATCTCCTGCTGCTGATCATTTTCTCAAACTTGAGGTATGTTGCATGCAGGGCTTCTCTACAGGCTTCCCCCAGTTCCCCTTGGGCTTTGGCGGCAGCAGATCCTGTGTGTTCCCCATCTGTGTACTGGATCTTCTGTTTCAATAAGTAAAGGAGCAACTCAACTGGTGTTTAATGATGCTTGATGGTCTCTGGCCTGTACCAGGGCAGTTTTTCAGCTCCTCCTTTGCTGCACTGTACCTGGGGAGGGCTGGGTAGCTGGGGAAGGGTCTGAAGAATGTTTTATGAGGAGTTTCTGAGGGAGCTGGGGGTGTCCAGCCTGGAGACAAGGAGGTGAGGGGAGACCTTCTGGCTCTGCAGCTGCCTGAGAGGAGGTTGGAGCCAGGGGGGTTGGTCTCTTCTCCCAAGGTTCAAGTGATAGGACAAGAGGAAATGGCCACAAGTTGTGCCAGAGGAGATTTAGATTGGATATTAGAAGAAACTTCTTCACTGAAAGGGTTATCAAACTCTGGCTCAGGCTGCCCAGCGAGGGGACTGAATCTCCATCCCTGGAGGTGTTTAAAAGGCATGAAGATGTGGTGCTGAGGGACATGTTTCAATCACTGGACTGGGTAGAGTTGGGTTAGTGGTTCTTAGAGTCAGGTTATGGTTGGACTCCATTATCTTAAAGGTCTTTTCCAACCAAAACAATTCTGTTGAGTAGGCTGAGACTTTTCTTTGTCATCTGAAGATCTTTCCTGCTTTCTCCAGGGACTTGCCTTGGGGAGAGCTGTTCCTGGAGGGTACCCCTGATAGAGAGAAGACTGGTTCTGCTGAGCTGCTAAATGCTCTGTTATCCTGGAGTCAGCTTGGGCTGGTTTGTTTTGCCCTTAGCTCAGTCTTACTGCTGCTGGGTTCCCTTCCATCTGGGGCTGTGTTCCCAGCTGGGCTGGTTCCTCTCACAGGGCCAGATCATCTGGTCCTCCACAACCCCCATTTCAGCACATCCTCACTGTGATTTTGCCAAGTAACCTTGAAGCTCCCATTGTCATTGGAAATGTCCTTGACTGCACAGAAGAGGGCAACAGGTCAGGAGAATAATAGAAGAGGTGCAGAAAGTCTGCTGCTTGAGACAGTTCTCTAAATGCTGGATGTTCCCAACTGGTGCTGAGAAGCAGCTCCTGGTGTGTTGACCTGGGTGCCTGCAGGGCCTGCTTTCCTTGGGTCTGTCCTCAGAAAGACTTAGATTCAAGTAAGAGCTCACTTGGTAGGACTTGCTGCAGACCTGAGAGGCAGCCAGCAGTCTGGCCATGGTCCTGAGTCCTGCTTAGCCAGGCTTGGGGGTGGAGACCCTCCAGGTGCTGTTCTTTGTCATGACTCTAGACACAACTTTTCCTGCCATGAGTTGGGCCTGTCCTGGTTACCATCATGGAAAGAATTGTGGAATAGTTTGGGTTAGAAGGAACTGTAAAGACCACCTGCTTCCAACCCCCTGCATGGGCAGGGACACCTCCCACCAGCCCAGGCTGCTCCAAGCCCCATCCAACCTGCCCTTCAACACTGCCAGGGATGGGGCAGCCACAGCTTCCCTGGGCAACCTGGGCCAGGCTCTCACCACCCTCATCATCAAAAATTTCCTTCTAATGTCCAACCTAAATCTCTCCTCTGCCAGTTTTAATCCATTCCCCCTTGTCCTCTCCCTCCCTGCCCTTGTCCCAAGTCCTCCCCAGCTTTCCTGGAGCCCCTCCAGGCACTGGAAGGTGCTCTAAGGTCTCCCTGGAGCCTTCTCTTCTCCAGGCTGAACACCCCAACTCTCCCAGCCTGTCTCCAGAGCAGAGATCCACCATGTTGCACCTCAAGAGGTGACTGGGAAGCGAGTTGTGAGTGTAGGTGGTGTTCAGGAAGCTGTAGATACCTCTCTTTTCAGAACAAAGGACCAGAGGGGTGGTCCTCCGGCAAGACCTTCACTCTGACCCTCTGAGCTTCACCAACATGGCTGTACTGTTTGTTCCCCACCAGCCTGGCAGTGCCAAGCAGCAAAGCCCAGCATGAGTCCTGAGATCTCAGTCCTGCAGAGATGCCATGGGCCTTATTGGCACCACTCAACTTCTTCATTGCCAGCAAAGGGACAACAGAAGGACACAGGTCCTGGAAAGAGAAAACATGCTGAGGATTACTCTGCTGTGTTAAAATTCATCATGTTCTGCTACTGTCCTACCTCTGAGTGCATAAGGGAAAAAAGAAAAAAGAGTTTGTGCTGGGTTTGTGACAAGGGGAGGGTGTGTTTGGCTCCTTCAGATACACAGTCACCAAGGACTCCTCCTCCTCCTTCATGGACACTGCTGCTTTGGAAATTATTTGGAGGATGTTCAAGCCAAAAAAGGAGTAAAACCTTCCCTAACATTGCAGGACTGAGTTAGTACAGCCCTTTTGTCTCCATGTTTGCCCCAGCAAGCACACAAACAGTGCAGGTGGAGCAGTGTTCTGTGCTGCAGCCTTCTGGTTTCTGCACATGGAGATGAGCTTGCAGGGGGTGCTCCCTTTTGTTTTGCCTACTATGAAGCTTCCTGATTGCTCCTCATTTTTTTTCTACCAGGGGATTCTCTTGGTGTATGACATCACTAATCGCTGGTCCTTTGATGGGATAGACAGATGGATAAAGGAAATAGATGAGGTAAGATGGATGAAGGAACACAGAGAATACTGGAGCAAGAATTGTGGGTGTGTCACTGAGATGCCACCTCTGATAAGGGGACAAGAATGGCTCTGCTCTGGAGAGGAGGTGATGGCAGTCTGCTCATGAGCAAAGCAAGGACAGAAGTGTCTGCCCTCCACCTCTGTATGAACCCAGAGGAGTAGGAAAGGGCTTGGGAATGGCCAAGAGAAATGGGAAGGTTCCCTCTGAAGTGGCCTGTGAAGGGGATGGATTAGTCCTCCTCATCACATGTCAGAGCTACTGGCCCTGGCTCACAGGGCAGCTCCTGTTTCTCTGCCCCCAGAGCTAAGCAGATGTTTCCACCCCTCCCTCCAGCACGCCCCAGGCGTCCCACGGATCCTGGTGGGCAACAGGCTCCACTTGGCCTTCAAGAGGCAGGTGCCCACGGAGCAGGCCCGGGCCTACGCCGAGAAGAACTGCATGACATTCTTTGAGGTCAGTCCCCTCTGCAACTTCAACGTCATCGAGTCCTTCACGGAGCTGTCCCGGATCGTGCTGATGCGGCACGGCATGGAGAAGATCTGGAGACCCAACCGAGGTCAGTGCTGGGGAAGGTGGTCCAGGAAGGGGTGAGAGCTGGGTGGGCTGAAATGGAGGGCTGGGGCTGACTGCCTGGGTGGGTGTGTCAGGAGCTGTGGGAGCTGGAAGCACCTGAGATGGTGCCTCAGGTCAGACAAGCTGGAGCTGAGCCACAAGGAGCTGCCTGCAGCAGCACAGGAGGCCAGCAGAGGGATGGGCAGCTCTAAAGGGCAGTTCAGCATGTCTAGGATCTGAACTGCTCCAGGGCATCCAACGCCTCTCCACTAATTCTGGATGAGGCTGAAGGGCAATTAAGCTCACAACTTGAAAGCTCTTCAAGTCAGATGGCTGTGTGGGATGAAGCCAAGTGTAAGCACCTCTGTCCTTGCCTGAGCCTGTGTCCCTTGTTTTTTGGAGGGACGCGGGAGCAGAGTGAGTCCAGGGAGCTGAAAGAGACCAAATTACAATCCCTGCTGTCTGCACAGAGTGGTGGGCTGGGGTGTTCTATGTGTCCACGTGTGCTGCAGCAGACCATGAGCAGACCCTGCCTTCCATCTCAGCCTGTTGAGCTGGAAGCACAATAGTCTGAGGTCCCACGTTCCCAGCTGGAGGCAGCAGTGTGTCCCACTGGCAGCCGGAGCAGCAGGAGGTTTGCACCTCTGGGGGACCTTTGTTCTAGGGAATCCTCACGAGGGGGTGAGGGAGAAGACCCACTAGCCCCAGGGACCAAATTGCCTGCCTGGGCTCCTGCCCCAGCGGCCGTGCTGCTGTCTGCAGCCCGAGCAGGGATGGCCAGCAGGGGCTGGGCTGTGTTCATAGACCTCACCTGAACCTGTTCCAGAGGCAGGACTGGGAACTGCTGGCTGCCCGCGGGGGAGCTGGAGCTGCCTTGGTGGGAAGGCAGAGCAGCGTGGCTTTGGCAGCAGGCTGGAGGTGAAAGCGTGCCCTCGTGTGGCTGCTGGCTGGGAAATTCCCTCCAAGCGACTTCCCAAAGCAGGCCCACATGGTGGATGCTCAGCTGAGAGGACCCTGGGAAGCCTGAAAGGGCAGTGTTGTCTTCTGGCTCGGTGAGGCCTCTGTTCCTGCAGGTGCTCTGCAGAGAGCTGGCCCCGTGGCTGCTGCTGCCCCCCCGGGAGGCCCCAAGTGAGGATGTCCTGCTTCAGGGCTTGCTGACCCTGTTGCCTCCTTCCCTGGGCATGTCCTTCTGGGAAGCCAAGTGTCAGGCTGGAACCTGGGCAGGGCACTGTGCAAAGAGGAGGGGTGGCAGGACCTAAGCCCCACATGGACACCAAAGCACTAACCCCCAAAGGGCAAGTCTTACTTGGGCTTTCCGAAGCTTTTGTCCTAATTCAGCTCCCTGTTCAAGGCTCCCATGCAGTCATCACTGGTTCTGTCCCCAGAGGGGCAGGAACTGCACAGCATAAGGAGTGGCTGTAGGGAGAAGGCAGCCCTTGAAGTCTCTTGGCCCTTGACTCTCTGGTCTCTTCTCCCACCAGTGTTCAGCTTACAGGACCTGTGCTGCCGAGCCATCGTCTCCTGCACCCCGGTGCACCTCATTGACAAGCTGCCCTTGCCTGTCACCATCAAGAGCCACCTCAAGTCCTTCTCCATGGCCAACGGGATGAACGCAGTCATGATGCACGGCCGCTCCTACTCCCTGGCCAGCAGTGGGGGTGGCAGCAGCAGCAAAGGGAACAGCTTGAAAAGATCCAAATCCATTCGTCCTCCCCAGAGCCCCCCACAGAACTGCTCACGCAACAACTGCAAGATCTCTTAGCAGGACGGACACGCCGTGAGCTTTGAAGGTGTCCACACTCACCCACCGATGTACAGCTCTTTGCACACTCACCCCTTTTTCCACCGGATCCTTTCGGATGGGCTGTGGTTGCTTTTTTTTGGTTTTTTGGGGTCCCCAGTGGCGTGTGTAAGTGTTGGGAATGTGCTCACGTTTTGGTTCCACAGAGGAAGCGTTGGTGCCAGCCGGATCTCGCCGCGCTGGCGGGGAGAGGACTCTGCCAAGTGACCCTCCAGGAATGCTTTGGGCTTTGCCTCTTGGCCTGGGGTGGAAAATTCAGCAGCTGCTGGCCTGGGGAGGGGGGAAGGGGGGGGAAAAGCTCATCCAGTCTCAATGGAGAAATGGATTTAATGGAAGATTCAGAGGCTTAAGGGAGTAGGGCAAGGAGAGTCTGTGCTGCAACTTTAACTCTTGGACTCCTGAGCAGATTGCTGGTGCAATAGCAATGGCTGGAGGTAGGAAAAGAGATGGGGACAAGAGACTCATGACAGCTTTCACCAGGATGTTAACCTGCTGTTGCCAAAACAAGGAGAACAAGGCGAGAGTTGGCCAATTGGAAAGAGGAAGGAAGCAGCCTGCTTGCCTCCTCCATTTATTTATGTAAATATTATACATATATATATATATCTCACTTGTTTTGTAAGGTTTTTTTTAAGAAGCAGTCAGGGAAAATTTTATGCAGCCGTGTAAATACAAGCACTGGATTCACTTTCCCAGTGTCAGCAAAGGGGGAGAAATGGAGGATTTTCTGGTGAAAATCCTCCCATCCTTTAAGAGACTTTCAGTCACCACCCGGGCTCCTGCTGGGTGCTTTTCAGTACTGCATCTGCAGAAGGAAAGACCCATCTGTAACACACTCCCAGCTGCTTTCTTTTTCGCCATCCTTCCCTAAAACCTGTGAGTGCTGAGGGCAGGGTGGGGTGTGAGTGGATCGAGGGGCAGAGCAGAGAGGCCAGGCTGCTGGGGTTTGGTTTTGGCAGGCAGGAGGCAGCTCTGAGGTCAGCCTGACACACCGTTCTCGCTTTGCCCCTTCTGATGCTTGGCTGGTCGGGGACTGAGGAGCAGAGGGTGGAAGCATCATGCCTAAAGCAGAGGAAAAACGTTGGATTTGGTCCCTTATTGCTGCAAAACCTTGGCTGTTGCTTCCAGAGCCCTCCAGCCACCACCCCACCTGGTGGGACAGCCCTGGGTCCTGGCTGCTGCTTGCTTTGCTTTTCCAAAGACATTCTGCCCGAGCTAGCGTTGCTGTGGCTCCTCCTGGATGAAAGTGGGGAAAGGGCACAAGCAGCTTTTCCTGCTGGAGCATGAGGAGCCAGGGACTGGGAAGGTGAAAGGTTTCTGTGGGAAAACAACAATTCCCAGGTCCTGTTTTGGCAAATCTGCTCAGCTCTTGTGGCAGCCCTGGGAAATCAGGAAAGCAGCTGCTTTGCTCTGTGGGACCATTCCTGGGTTTGAGGGGCCTGTGGTCTCAGTGGGAAGAGCTGGAGATGTGCATGTGCTGTGGGAGAAGATCGTGTGTCAGGAAAGGGCATGTGCTTCCCTGGCTTTGTCCTGTGCTGGAAATCTACCTGGAAGCTTAGGAATAACACCCAGCCCCTTAGGGCAGAAGCTAAGCAGGGCCTGGTGGTGGGACTGAGCTGTGTCAGCAGAGCCTTGTGGGCAGCCAGGCCGCGTAGGTGGTGAGCAAGGTGGTAGAAGTGACCTGCTTTTCCTTGTCCTGGGCTGGTCTCCTCAGCGAGGAGAGCAGCTGGAACGGTGCAGCCATCTTCCTCCTGGTGTTAGCATCTCCTCAAGGCCTGGGCTTGCTCCTCTCCCCACCCAGAGCAGCTCTTGGTGCACTGCACGGGCAGGATGAAGCCGCAGCAGCTCCTGCGCGGCCGACGGACCCGCTGTGCTCGGGCAGGGACATGTCCCTCCACCGGGACATCTCCTGCCCCTGAGCCAACCTGCGAGGGGAAAGGAGCCTTCCCCCTCCCTGCTCCACAGAACAAAGCCCAAGCCAAGGGTCGGTCTCTTGGCTCGTCTCTCACGTGCTTTATTGCCCGGCTCAAATGAGCGAGGAGAGAATTAAACCTCGGGCAGATGGAGCTGGGGGGAGAAGAATCCTTTGTAGTGGTGGTTTGGCTCAAGAGCAAAGCTGCAGCCGAGCTCGGCGCGAAGGCCGGGGGATTTTGAGAACCTGTCTGGGATGGTGCCACCTGTTTCCCATCACTTAACACACAGCAGAAGACAATCGCTGGCTCAGCAGCCCGGGGATATACAGCCAACAGGTGATGGGCACCACGAGAGGCAACTTCTCCTGGAAAACCATCCCGGCACCGCGGGGCCCCCAGGCCGGGCTGCTCCCGGGCACCGGGGCGAAGGTTTCCCTCCTGGAATCACAAAGCTGCTGCATGGCTAGAAAAACTTGATGTCCCTCTGCTTGGTTTGGCTTTGCCATGTGTGGTGCCTCCCCACACCTTTTTCCCCACTGTTGGTTCATTGTTTTTCCACCCTCTAAGGTCTGAACAGATCCTGGCTGGAGTGAGGATGAAAGCTTGACCTGGAGTGACTGCTCAGCAAAGAAAATCGTGTTTTGTTGTTAATTTAAAAGGAAAAGATTCTTGCATCTGATGTCAACACTAGTCTGTAGCTGCTCTCCAACACTTGCACCATTCCTGAGTTGTTTTTTTGGACTATCCTTTTATTATTATTTTTTTTTAATTCCTTTGTACAGTCAATGTTGTTCAACTGATGATACATGGTTTTGTTTTGTATAAATTAAAAGTCTTTTTTTGGTTGTTGTTTTGAACTACCAAGTGAAAGGTGGAAAAAAGTTGGATCCATTTTGGAAGAGGAAGTTTTGCCCACACGTGGGGATTTGGGGCTGCTCGGGGTGCAGGTGTGTGTTGCCACTCATGGATCACCCGCAGAACAACTCACGTTCACCTCGGGTTGGATTATCTTGGGGTTCTTGAGGTCGCAATTCCTGGCTCTGGGGTTGGTTTTCCCCTTCTCTACAGGCAGAAGCTAAAAATGTTCTCCTTAAAGGTCTGGCTCTTGCAGAATTGGTGATGTTTGGGTAGTGGAGCTGTTGGAGGGCACGGGCTGGTCTGCAGTGCGGTTGGTGCCATGGGTGGCTGTTGGATGCCAGGCTCCCCAGGGGCACAGTCCTGGTACAGGGGGATGGGCTTTGCATGTACAGTTGAAACTTCAAATGGCCTCTTTGGGTCCAGGTGATCCCAAGGGAGAGGAGTGAGTGCTGGTCACCCATCCTGCCCAGACTGGAAGCAGCTAGGAGGCTGCCTGTGATAAACCTGAGGAAGCAGAGAAGATGCTGCTGTGTCACCATCGGGCCTTGCTGGGGCAGGGAGCCCCCAGGAATGGGCTTTGCTCCTGGGGTGGTGGGAAGTTTCTTTCCTGATCCTTTTCTCTCTTGCTCCCAGCCCACCTCTCCTTGACCTCCCTTTTCCCCTCCCTGCTCACATCCCTAGGATCAGATTTTCCACTTCGTACCAGACTGGCCACGCTTGTTTTAACAGCTTAAGTAGTAATTGCTGGGGCTGGGAGGGGGCAGGGGGGGAAATGAGATAGTGTCTGCAGCCTGGAAAACCCTGGAGCTAAGGTGAAAGCCTGGTCAGGGAAGAGTCAGGGAGACTTTTTTTTCCCCTCCTTATTCAGGGGGGGTCTGGAAGTGTCTGTTCCCTCTCGCCAGCAGAGCCAAAACAAAGGCTGTGTGTGGTTTCAGGTGGGGTGGGACAGCCGGAGCCCATTATGCTGGAGCAGCAGGAGCTGCCTTGGCTGCAGCTGTTTGTGCTTGGGAAGAGCAGGGCAAGAAAACACTGCACAGCCCAAGTGGTGGGGGAAAGGCTGGGAGAGCTTTGGGAGTCCCTGGTCCTTGGAGGGAGAATAGGGAACCCATTACTCTGGGCTGGTTCAGGTCTTTCCTAGTTGGGTGCATTTCTCCAAACCCACCTTCCCAACTTGAGAGTCTTGGGTTGGTCCCCTGTGGGGTTCACAGAATGTCAGAGGTTGGAAGAGACCTCCAGTAATCGAGTCCAACCCCCCTGCCAGAGCAGGACCAAAACCAGGGCAGGTCACTCAGAAAGGCATCCAGACAGGTCTTGAAAGTCTCCAGAAAAGGAGACTCCACCACCTCTCTGGGCAGCCTGTCCCAGGGCTCTGTCACCCTCACACCAAAGAAGTTCTTCCTCATGTTGAGGTGGAGCTTCTTGTGCTCCAGTTTGAATCCAGGGGTTGTGCTGTGCAGGCTGTGATGGAATAGTGACCATCTGGCTGCACCCGAGGTGCTTGAAAACAGGGGTGCAGGAGCCCTCCCCCCTGGGTGCAGGGTGTGCTGGGAGGGGACACATGGAGCAGTGCCCCTTCTTGTGGGACAGGGTGCTGAGCCACTTCCTGCACTGCCTGGAGTTGGCACTTCAGGACATGCTCTGTTGGGCATGGTGGGGGTGTTGTTCTTTGGTTTTGGTTTGTTGGGGTTTTGTTGGTTGGTTGGTTGTTTCCTCCTTGGGTGGATGGTTGTACTTGGTGATTTTAGGAGGTCTTTTCTGACCCTGACAATTCTTGTGTGTTTCTGTGACATGAAGGGAGAGGATGAGCCATAAAACTCACATCTGTGTCTGGGATCTTTGAAAATGACCCCAAAATATCCCTGTCCTGGGGTGTGGTGGGTGCCTGGACACACAGTGGTGAACAGACTGGGAGAGGCTGCAATCACAGCTGCTCTCAGCCTTTAGATGGTGAAAGTTTATCATGGGCTTGGGCCAGGGTGAAGAGAGTGACTTTTCCTTTCATCTTCTGCTGCAGAAGCTCCAGAAGAGGCCAGGTGGGGGTCCCCAGGCATGGGTGAGGGTCTCAAGTCTGGGGAGCTGCATACTCAACCTGTATCCCTCCAGCCAGCCTCGTGCTGCCGTGGGAAGGGTGTGGGCGACACTTGTCCCTTCCTTGTTGCTTTTGAGCTCAGTGACACAGGGATGAGGCAT